CTTTTGCCAAAAACTGCTACAACATACAGCACCACTCATTATGAATGCTTACACTAGAGGACAAACCACCTCCATGGAGAAAAGCCAGAGTGAGACTGATGTTATTTAAATTACTGCTAAATTTAACAGCCATACTTTCCTCCTGAGCATAACTGATACTGCTTTTTTTTATTTCTACTAAAATGTTTAAATATTTGTGCAATAATACACTAGGACCATGATTTACCTGTACTACTTAACCAAATTTATTGCCATGGAACAAAAAGGATGCCTTCCCTATACATGAGTGACAGCCAGCAATGGTTTCGCAATTCTTCTTTGGTATCACCTCATTGTGCAAAACTAAAACAAGATACATGTTTGGTATTAATAGCTAAAGGGCATTCTCTAACTTACACATTTCCTCATGAGTACAGAACCTTCCAGTGCTGAAAAGGTCAATAATTGTTCTAACATGGAATAGTATTGAAGAAATAACCTATGCCTAGTAGTTATACAGACCCAAAGGAATCTTATAAGACATTCTTATTCCATAGCAAAAGTAGTTAATTTTTCCATACTTAAGCTGCTATGCTGTCATTAACTCTGAATCTTGGAAATTAACATGTACACATTATATATAAAAATACATAAACATGTAAAATATATATACTATTATATTTTTTATACATAATTTATATATTATCTATTCTATGCCTATTTTAAAATACTTTTCTTTGTGCTGCTTCCAAAAGTATTCATCTTTGTAAATACAAGAGGAAGCACAGTGAAACAACATACAATTTATCTGGAAAATCCAGATTTTTCCAGGGATGTAATTCTACAGTGGCAGAACCGAGATCAACAATGTCCCATGTGCAGGACTGTTTTCTGTCAAGCGAAACATGAATATCAGAAAAGTGGAAAAAAAAAGCCCTCACAAAACCCAACCTAAATAAGTCATTATAAGAATAACAAAACAAAGCAAGATGGCAATCAATAGTAAGGGAGAAAAAGAAATAAACTTTAAGGGTAAGACACCGAACAGAAAATGAATTTTTTGTATTTTTCTGCAGCCAGTCCTCGCTGCAGAAAAGGAAAAAGCCTTAGATCAGTTCTCTAGAGATTAAAGAAATGAGAATAAAGTACTTGAACCAAAAGAAAGAAAAGACCATGTTACCATCCGAGTCAGAATAGTACTATCTACAAATTCTAACAGAATTTTTGTCATCTATTCACTATATCACTCATAAATAATAATAAAAACCTTTATGACTAAAAACCTTTATGTCTAGATCTTGTGTATGGGTCAAGAGTCACCATTTACATAAAAGCACGCTCCAGCATGATCCAGACCAGCAAGCTGTAATTTCAGTATCGGGTAGAAAGCAGAACACATTTACAAATTCAGCATAACAAGGGCACATGAGTACAACTCCCAGACTCAAACAGCTATTATCCATTGCTTCTTTTCCCTTGATACTATAGAAATTACTGGATTTTCATCAATATTCTAACAAAATTCTTTGCGACTGACTATTGAGGAAACTGAGATACAACAAGGTAAGAAACTATTTTAGATATAGTTCACAAACTGCTAGAACAGATACAAATCACAAAATATTCAGAAAAGCTAGGTTAGAATTGGGCATGGCACTCCTCAGAGTAGGTAAATGAAAGGTACAGAGGAGCTATCTAGCTGGAATTGTGTAGATGCACCATGTAAATAACGCTGAACAACAATCCCAGGGCAGGATATCCAAAACCACACAATATTCATTTTCTAAAACAACTTGAGCTCTAAAGACACTATGTGGCACTAAAAAAATTGTATGAGTTAGGATCTCAAATCTCTTGCTAATATGAAAACAGATGACATTTTTAGACCCAGACGCAGTAAAACTCTAAATAGTCACTAAATGAGCAGCAATATTCAGAGCAGGAAACAAGATGCGCAGTACAAGGAAAGAAAGTGTTGCTGAAACAGTCAGCAAGAAAACAAGAATAATGCAGAGAACAAGAGAAGTGAGCAGACACAGTCTTACAACTGTGCCAATAAAGATCTTCATGAAGAAGATCCATGACATCTGGATGTTAAAATAGTCTGCAGTAGGTTTATGTAAAGTTAAACTATAAAACACATTAAAAGAATTCTAAAGCTCCAAAATCAAGGACTCTGATAGAAAAACATTAGAACTGGGTACTTCATTTGGCCCTGCTTGACCTTTTGAGCCTAATGAGTCTTTTTTAACAAAATAAGCTTATTTAAAGCACTGCAGTTCAAGAAACTGATTCAAGGTGATCTTATAAACTAAACAGCAGAGCTTTGACCTTCAGACCTAGAGATGACCTACCATGGTTAGGGAATGCAGTAACAGCCAGTGGTGGGACATTACTTCTCTGTGTAGAAAGTAAGACAGTAGATAAAAGGACCAAAAATACACTACAACTTGCAAATTTCTGGATTTCCTCCTCGCAGCAAACCAGAAAAATATACTCTCACATACAGCTATGACTCCTGAATTGAATTTAGAAGTGCTACACGGGTGTGTGTTATGGCAATTGCCATTATCTCTACCCCTGTGCACCCAGTGTCCCTTTACATGCACATGCCAAATTACCCTTGCGCTCCACCCTGATTCAAGCTCCCGCCTCTCTGCATTTCTTTTCCCCCCACATCAGACCCAGCAGCCTCAACCCTTCACAGTCTATTCTCTGTTACCATCTGGATCTTCCTTTCCCCTTGTGCTGCCATTCTTAAACCTAAAAGTCTTCATCACCATTCTCCTGGTTTAGGACTCCTGCTGTTCTCTGATACTTCTACCTTCTTATTACCTTTTCACCCCACTTTTCACTACCCTAAAAGCCAAAATACCAGTCAAATTCTTTCTCCCATCTGTACTGATATAGAAACAGGTATAAGAACAGCACATTTTCTGTTTATGCTTGGTGCCTGCACATGGCTCCTTTTGCCCACTCTTCCCTATCTACCCTTTGAGGATGAAGTCATCTGTTCACACCATCTTAACTAGCATCTGCACAGCAATGGCTTATAAGCATGTCTATCCATCCACCTACTCCTGATTGCCTCCATATGGTACTGCTTCTTTTCTTGATTTTGTCTCCAGAAAACTTAAGCTTAATATATGTTCACAACTCAGCTCCTTATCACTCCTCTCAAACACTTTTTGCAGATAAAACTTCTGCCAACATCACCTCCTGTCATATCGGTAGTCTTTTGTGACCCCTTTGCCTGCCTTTGAACCATGTATTCATGATATACCCAAAATCCTGTTACAATCTTCCTCCGTGTGTACATCTTTTTCCAACAGAACAGCTCATCCAATACCTCCATCTTTGTTCAGGCACACATTGAAGAATTAGAAAGGGAGATAGAGATTCATCTGTTTAAATTTAGACAGGCTTCCTTACTTATCCTTAGTCATACTGAAAGTGAAGCAAGTAAATCTCTTTAATATATTAGTATTTATGCTTTCATTTTGGGAATCCTCTTTATCACATCACCTTTAAGAGCTATACTGGGATCATTGGTTTCAAGCTCTTGAGAGGCAGATGATACAGAGACAGCTCAAAGGGCTCAATCAGCTGCTACTCAGCATAGCCAGCTGGTACCCAGTGATCTCTCGTCAAAGTTTCTGCAATCTTTATTTACATGGTTTCTGAATGCAAGAGTATGAAACAGGAAGCATGCTGGATGGATATGAAGCTGTTTTAAAAAATAAATAAAGCATGCTGTTACCTAAAGATAAATAATATATTGGATGTCTGCCTGAAAGAAAAAGTAAAGAAATAAAGACATCTGAGTTACACAACTGCATTATGTATTTGCATTAACAATCTACAACCAGAGGGCTGCATCAAAATTTGACCCAAACTACCATCTTAACACAGTTACTTATGTACGAAGTTACTTATGTATTTAACATTTAGTACTTTATCACACCTTACAAAAAACCTTAAAAATCTTTTAAATCATGGTGAAAAAAAGTCCCACACTCATCTGAGATTATAAACTGCCTATAGGACATTTTATACTCAGATATTCTTAAACTAGTTGTTTCAGCAAACCAATTTTGAAAAATATGGTTTTCGGGTTTACGTTGAAATGATTTCCAAGATTTATTTAGCACCACTACTAGTTAAAACAGGTATTGTGCTACACTTCTCATTACGCGGTTGTGAGCATTGCTTATACTGACAGAGTAGATTCAGAAATACGTGACAAAACAAAAAGTGAAAACAAAGACATCCCTTGCAAAGTGAAGGTCAAGAACATCATGCAAGAAAGACATCTTTACAAAAACCTGTCAAGTCTCTAACAAAATCCATGTGGAACATGCAAGTTTTTTTAGAAGTTTACATTTCACCAAAATTAATAAGCTCCACAACTATACATACATTGTACATAGTGATGGATCCTAAAAATAATTTTTTTCTGATCATGAATCAACCAAATTATCACGTCTGAATAATTACCAGAGTCTGAACAATCTTGGTGCATCCTAGCATAAATTTTCCTAATATACATGTAGGTATCAAGTTATCCTGAATATAAATTATTGCTACAAAACCTAGATGACCACTTGCATGTAAACATGTACGGTGAAATTCAGCATGGCTTAAAGAGGCAGCATTATTTCAGAACGTTCTTAAGACAAGAAAAATCAACAAACCAAAACAAATAAACAAACAAAAAATCAAACAAAAAACTCAGAAATGGAAAGTAGGCAAATATAGACTGTAGTAAGCTTTTAAAGTAATAACCGTTTAATCCCTTTTTTTTTCCTCACTGCCATGTGGTTTCCAGTGTACACAAAGTAAAGAGTGAAAAGGTAAAAATAAAACAGGCATACCCTTAATATATTCCAGAATTCATAAATCATTTGTAAATTTAGTCCTTTTATAAAAGAATCCTTATATAAATTGGGGGAGGGAGGGCATCAATCCCATATATGAAGCACAATTAAAGCCCAACATCACTGACCAATCAAAATTAGTGAATGCACTGCATCTCTCTGCAGTGAGGAGAAGCGACAAGGTAGGCTGTCATTCTGCAAAAGCTGCCCATCGCAAGCTTTCCTCTCAGAAGCACTGCTCTTCTTTTTTAGAAAGCCTGAATCTCCGTGGTGTCTCTGGAGACAAGAAGCCTTCAGTATGTTAAATTACTTTCATTATGTATTTTCAGATGCTTATTGATTCTACCGTAGGAAGAGTGGGAGACTGCAGCAGCCTGTAAACCAGAACTAAAGCAATTGTATACATGAGCAGTATGCTGAAACAATGGCACAGTACAGGCACAAATTTTCATTAAGGTCATTTTTTGAAGATATGCTTATTACCCTGTTTCCCTTCTACTCTGCTAACAAAGTGAACAAAATGAATCCCTCCAACCTGGAACTGCTTCACCTGCATCGAGAATTTACCAAATCTTTAGTGGAGGTAAGACCTGTTCCTTATTATGATATGCAGAATAAGCAACGTTAAATCAAATTAAAAATTGGAGAATAAAAAGGCAAGAGATCAGATTCAACTTATATTAAGCAGTAATATATTGTTATATTTGAGACCAGGAAATATTTAAATGCTATTTCCCCTTCCTCATTAAAAACATAATGATAGAAAAATGTTATTCTGTATGAAAGTCTTCTAGAATATTAAGAAACTGTTTTGTTTGTACAACATGAAGATAGTACAGTTTAAGCTCATACAGTATTGGGGAAAACAACCACATAAAGCAACCGGGAATATGCTTTTCCTCCCTCAGCAGTATTTCCAAATATTGGCAGTTAAATACGTTTCAGATTTATTCAGTTACTCTTCGAAGGATCAGACAGTCTGTAATTAGTGCATACTTATTGCTTTATGAAGGTTGGCTCATATGACTAATCTCTGATTGCTCAAGAAATCCCCCTTTTTTGTTGTTTTTTTTAAACTTATTTCTTTCATTATCCTATACATACAAGCCATTTATTAAAAGCATGGATTTGCTAAACATCTATTTCAAGTAAGGAAAGTATAACAGTGTGCAAATTAAACAAAAGCGTATTTTTTAAAAGGCTCATTAACTCTGTTCAGTTTCTCATTAAAAGACAAGAGAGTTATATGTATAAACTACCTGCTCACCAGAGCTACAAAACTACATTTTCTAGCTTTAGTCACAGACACTGCATCCAACAGTTATTGCTTCTTGCCAGGATTTTTTGTAACCTGTACTATCTGGAGAACAGGAAACTTGTCCAAAAAACCTAAATTCATGTAAGCTGGCAGAAGAATATGATGTTACTAGCAAATAGAGAGCAGGCAAACTGATTTTCTATGAAATCTATAAGGTCCATTTTTAGAGATCCTTTATTCATTAAATAAGTGATATTAGAAAACACATTCTTGCATTACTAATTTTTTTTTTTTTAATTATAGCCCTACTTTTAACCTTTTTTTTCCTCCCCTTCACAAGGGCATGCAGCAACTAATTCAGTTTTACTACTGACAATATGAAGAATGCAGTTGACCGGGTATCTTTGTAGCTGTATGACCTACGAGCGGCAGGATGCATCCCTAAAATGTATTCTTAAGACATAAAGGAATTAAAAACAAAACATGGAACACACTTGCATTACCATTTCCGTGCATGACACTTCAACAATATACATGGAAGACTAACACATCTGCTCAGATTTTCATTACAAGAAGAGTGCAATGATTGATTCTTAAAACGGTGAGCATTTCTTAAAGAGGGATTTATAATTTAAAACCAGAATTGTGGAAACTACTGATGCATGAAGAGACAATGAAACATGAAATCCCAAAAGGAGAATATGCATACTTCATCAGCAAGCTGAATAAAGGTTTAACCAAGCTTTTTCTATACTACTCATTAAATAACTTACTTGTCATAATGACTAATGGATATTTTTCTCTCAATTTTATGATGTTATGTATTCTCCTTAAATCAAAATAAACCAAATTAGGTAACCCATGGTTACTCTCAAAGCACATGAACTGGATTTTATGATGTATAGCAACTTCTTTCACTAAGCCATCACTCAAAACTAATGAGCAGGAATATCACAGAAAGAAATACGCAACCATAAACTAAGGATGTCTACACACACTCTGAAAACTGAGATCAGAAAATACTATTCTCTAAACCTGGAAAATAAAAACAGGCTTCTACAAAATACATCAGGGGAAGGAAATTAACATCACTTAAAAGAAGGTTTATTTGTCATTGCTGGCTTGAAACTCAGAACAGACACAGAATATGCCCTGGTCTGTAGAAGTATCTGAGGCACTTAAGAAGTCCCCATGTTTAATCAGAACTTTTTGCTGCTGAACTGCAGGAACAAAAAAAAAGGAAAACAAAAAAAACCTGCAAGAAATGAAATAAGAGCTCAGCTACCACTTGATTTCCAGGGCACAGTGCTGTCAGAAATCTCTCAGTGACAGCATGTGTCGGTTTCTGCCCAGCTGCTGCCACGCTGTGCCAGGCCCCTGAGGCACAGAACAGGTAGGTGCCCCCGCTGCCCGCGCGGCGCTGGGGGAACGAGCTCCTGCCACACAGCTCTGCTCCCCAGCCCAGGCAATGCACCCAGCAGGTGATGCTTAAGCTCTTCATGGCGACCTAACACAGCTGAGCTTGTCTGTTTTCACAAAAATTCGGTCGCTGTAATGTTAGGGTGAGACTGTCATTTGTTTTAGCAGATCTGCTTTTGATTTCCTCCTGGCTTTTGCTAACACAAAAGAACTTCATTTGTTCAACAATGCATTTGGAATGGTTTCTTGAAACCAATTCACAGCCAGGACAGCATGCAAGAGGTGATCATATCCCTGAGGGTTAATATAAGACAGATAGAGGTTGCCTAAATTAGAAATGAAACAAAGCTTTTGAAATATTTCTTGTTTCATTTCACACCTGAGAGTAATACGTTCTAATTTACATCTTTTTTTATTTAAGAGGTACATGTGAAATAGCTGTTGAAGAATACCCAGAATTTTCATCATACAATTTGCAATTAATAGTATTGTTCAGCTGAAGCTTTTCAGAACTGCAGATGAAATCCATTTGCATACTGTATCCCAAGTGTGCTTAATTCATACTTTCATTTTAAAAGAGCTCAGTTTTGTTCACCTTAGTGCTATCCATTTTAATGTATTCAGAATAGAACAAAGGTCTACATCCAAATTTATTTTCATGCCAAATATGTCCCCTCTTAAATTTAAAGCTACCTGGAAAAAAGCCCTCCAGTATCATAACAAGAAATTGAATAACCTCTCTTTTATTTGTTCAATCAATTACAAACTCAAGAGCTGGCTGACGATATAAATCATACAAACATCAGGTATTACATGCAGATGCTATATTTAGAACTTAGCCGCACGTGTAGAACTAAGCAGATGAAACACAAAATAAAAAATCTGCTAGATAAAATAAATACCTTTCTGATCCTTACTTATTTCAAAGAGAAACATGCTATGTATGTAAATCTGCTTGGTTTAATTGCAGTTTGCATTAAATAAAAAAAAAACCAAACCAAAATCAAAACCTGAAAGAGACAATTTTCTTTTTAAATATTATTTGCTGAAATTATTCCCTTAAATATGTTTTGGATTAAAATCAAATACTCTTCCATTCCATGTAGGCATAGATTTCTTGAAGCAATTGAAAATTCAAATCAGAAAAAGGAAATGTAGTATATTGTAATAAACTCAACTTCCCAAACCCATATAAGTTCTGCATTTGAAATTATATATACTTTATATAAAGCTGTTGTAGTGTACACATATGTACACTACATATGTACACATAGATGCTCAGAAGATTAAAATGAACAGAAGGTTTAAACTCTGTAAAAAACTGGTGAATTACAGAACATCACATTTCAGTCCACAGCACTACCGTAAACCTTACAAGAAAAAGGTGGATAAATTGGCATAAATAATTTAAACATCCCTTTTATGATACATAAGAAACAGTGCTCCATGCTCCTATCACTTTTTTTTTCCACAAGAGCTTTTTGAAATCATCTTGATCACTAATTTGTTAATACTTAACAACATTCTTCTAAAATGACCCTCAAAGCAATACAAAGGCTATGCACAAAGTATGGTTTATTCAACAAATGAGCCCTTTGTGAAAAACCACATCACTATAAACAAAGGCTTGCCTCCCTAAGTGGAAGCTTTTCACTATTTTTTCTTTTTTCAAACAAATCCTGCTTTCTTTAAAAAGCAAAGACCTTATTCTAGATCTTCAGGCTTTTGAGTCCATGCCAATTAAAGCTCTAAATATACTGTAAATGAAGAGTTTGGTAAGAATATTGCTTTTTCCCCCCTCCTCCTTCCCCAGCATTTATCTCCAATAAATGTTAAAAAAAGAAATCAAATAGTTCCATATTTTATTTCACCTTTCAGGAGAAAAACCAGCTGCAACAAAAGAATGTGTTTGTCCCCCATTCTGGAAGTCAACATGCAGTCCGAATCTAACATTACAGTTCGAGATGCCATTGATGACATCGATACCAACATGTACCAACCACTGTCATATCCATTAAGCTTTCAAGTTTCTCTCACTGGATTTTTGATGTTAGAAATTGTTTTGGGACTTGGCAGCAACCTCACCGTTCTGGTACTTTACTGTATGAAATCCAACTTAATCAATTCTGTCAGTAACATAATTACAATGAACCTTCATGTACTTGATGTAATAATTTGTGTGGGATGTATTCCTCTAACTATAGTTATCCTTCTGCTTTCACTGGAGAGTAACACTGCTCTCATCTGCTGCTTCCATGAGGCTTGTGTCTCTTTTGCAAGTGTTTCAACTGCAATCAACGTCTTCGCTATCACGCTGGACCGATACGACATCTCTGTAAAACCTGCTAATCGAATCCTGACCATGGGAAGGGCTGTGATATTAATGACATCAATATGGATCATTTCACTGTTTTCCTTCCTGATTCCTTTCATTGAAGTCAACTTCTTCAGTCTCCAAAGTGCAAGCACTTGGGAAAATAAGACACTTCTGTGCGTGAGTACAAACGAGTACCACACTGAGCTAGGAATGTACTACCACATTCTCGTTCAGATCCCAATATTTTTCTTCACTGTTGTAGTAATGCTAATTACATACACCAAAATACTCCAGGCCCTAAATATTCGGATTGGTACAAGATTTACAACGGGACAAAAGAAGAAAAACAGAAAGAAAAAAACCATTTCTTTGACCACGCAGCATGAGACTACGGATGTGTCCCACAGCAGCGCAGGAAAAAACGTCGTCTTTGGTGTAAGGACTTCCGTGTCCGTCATAATCGCTCTGCGCCGAGCTGTGAAACGGCACCGGGAGCGGCGAGAACGGCAAAAGAGAGTCTTCAGAATGTCCCTTCTGATCATCTCCACCTTCCTTCTCTGCTGGACACCCATCTCTGTTTTAAACACCACTATCTTATGTTTGGGCCCAAGTGACCTTTTGGTAAAGTTGAGATTATGTTTTCTAGTAATGGCATATGGAACAACTATATTTCACCCTCTACTTTACGCATTCACGAGGCAAAAGTTTCAGAAAGTTCTGAAAAGTAAGATGAAAAAGCGAGTTGTTTCAATAGTGGAAGCAGATCCCATGCCAAATAACGCTGTAATACACAACTCATGGATAGAGCCTAAAAGGAACAAAAAGATTACCTTTGAAGACAGTGAAGTAAGACAGAAATGTTTAGTACCTCAGGTTGTCACTGACTAGATTTCAGTATTCACCAAAACACATCAAACGGAATATTTGAACAAATTGTAAAAAAAAATACTGCCAAATAAGAAAAACTTTTTTAACTATTGGCAAGACTGTATATTTTCAATATATATGTTAAATAGAGTAGGTCTTGTATATTCAATTTCTTCATTATGTAAGATATATGTTGCATGGCTGTTTGTTAGCGTAACACCATGTGTATATTTGTCAAAAATATTCAAGTCCTCTTTTTTTAGAAAATAAATAGCCTTAAAGAAGTGCAAACTTTTAAAAATATTTGTATGGCTCAGTTTCTCTGTAAATATAAAATAATTTTTAAGTAAAAATGGCACTTGGGAATAATTTTCTATAGCACAAATTCACCATTTTGTATGATATGGTGTTTTTAAATTTAATGCATAAACAATATTGATCAGAGTATTCTGAATATTATGCAACTACAACCTGGATGCATTTTGACCTCATATTTAGATATTCCACTTATTTCGATCTTCTCCAGCATGTGACTACCATGCACATTATGTCCTTCAATTGCTGGTCCAGAAACTTTTGTTATGGGGAAAAAAAATCATACCAGTCCAAAAATTGACAGTACTCTTAAGAAACGTAAAAAGTTTTGCATATGCAATCTCAGATCTACAATTTCTACAAGGAAAATACACAACTTTGAATAATTACAAAGGACAGGGCAGGAGTAAAAGGCTAAATTAAGGAAAAAAGCATGGATGAGAAAATTATTTAGCTGATGCTAAAGGTCAACCAACCGAGTCAATCCTGTGCAAAGGTTTAGATTTTTCACACTGACCTCTAGTGTGACACAAGGACCTTTCAAACGGGAATTTTTCATTCCTATCATCTATCTACGTAGATATGATTGTCAAATGCCACAGCTAAAGTAAAAGATAATTTTCCTGCCCTTGATAACTTTATTATTCTCCACTGTGTTCAGCTCTAGCCATGCAATTGCCTTGTCACAAACCAATCACCAATACTAACAGCTACTGTATTCCTGCACGTCCTGGGCAGCCATGGCATACCTTTGTTCTACATTGTCTTCTTCAATTTCATCCCAAACCCGCATTGAAGTATCAAGAAGCCTTATGAATTTATCATCATCCATAGCACTGTAAACAAGAATTAAGATCTTGATCCAAACATAAGTTTGTCAAGTTGTTTGCACCATGCCACACTTAATTTCTTCATTTCAATGAAACCCTGGTGGGGAGAGGAAAACAAAACAAAAACCTGCAAAATCAATGAGCATGATTTCATTCCTCTTGTTACATAAACTGATCAATGTGTCACCAGCTACCAGTATATTTAAAATGCTAATTCTCAATAACTATTATCTTATATAAAAAAGCAGATCATACCCTTGAATACGAGAGCTAGTTTGACTAAAACATTACATAAAAAATTAGGATTTCTAAAGCACTTTTCTGAAGTTGTGCATAAAAAAAGGCGCAGTTTTAAGGGAACAAAAAGCTCTTCTCCACCACATAGCTAAATTATTAATCATATGTGTATTGCCAAAACTGGTTTTGTGCTTAAAAAAAAAAATACCTGCAATGCACTTAGTTTACTTGAGCTCATGCCTTAGCTTACCAGAACTGAAGACCCAAAATATAATACTGCAGCTCCATATGCTACAAACAATAGCCACTTGTAATCATGTAAATTCTATCTAGAAATGTTATTATCTGATTGATGTGAAATGATACGAAATTACTGTGTAATATATTCAAACATACTTTCATATTTTCACTGAGGTTTTTTTGTGGAAACTGGCCCAAAAATACCTGCATTCAACTGCATTTAAAGTACTTTTTTTATGCAAGTTATGTCTAATTTCCTAAAAGAATTGAAATCCTACATCTTATTTGAGAGGCTGCAGAGAGGAAGTAAATGCAATAATCTCTCTTTTCTTTTTTAATCCCATATCCTCCACATTTACCAGTTGAAAAATTCTTTTGAGAATAATTTCTGAAAAGAAATGCATGCAAAATACTTAAGCAGAAACTATTTTTTTTTCTTTTGTGTACCCCTTCTTCATTTCCTTTTCCAGCTATCCTCTGTATTTTGAACACTAGAAGCAGGAGAAGCTGGGATGTGTAGGGTTAATATTATAACATTATTTCAGTGATTACTAATCTTCCAATAAAGCATTCTTAAATGAAAGATACTACTCATTCATTTAAAAAGAAGGAAAGAGAAATGATAATGAACAGATTAATAAGTCTACATCATGTCCTTATCTGAAAAAAGCATTTAGAAAAGCTTTCAGACTTGAAAGGTTTCTTGACAACATAACCTTACTTCTTAAAATTAAATAAAACCTCAAGAATTACACATTTAGTGTTAAAAGCTCATTCATTACAAAATCAGATGCAATGAAGCAGCACTTCATAGCAGAGAAAGAGCAGCCTAGGAATTGCCCAAAGAGATTAAGCCTGGTTTTAAAGGCTGTGTCGATCACACTCATTGATTGCCTTTACAAATTCATTTTTTCTATTTTTACTTCATTTTTACTATTCTTCATCTTCAATAAATTTTTAAAAAGAGGACTTATACTACATAGGAGTACACTTTGAGGGCTGCAGAAACAAATTCTGCATACAGAAGGAAGGAACACAAGTAAGAATATGTGCCATCCTACATAGACCCAGAAGCCATCATAAGACAGAACCATGCATTATCTGTACCACATGCCAAATTTAACAGAAGACAAAATAAAAAGTAAATTGTGAAGACACACTACATATCCTACAGACAGAAGAGGATTTCAGGAATGATATGACGGTGTGGGTGCTTGACAGATAGACTAAAACAGAATGCAAAGAGGCAGCATCGCTGAAGAAAAAAGGGCAAACTTATGCCATAGTATTGTACAATAAGAAGCCCACTACATTCTTCAAAATGATCTCACCACAGTGAATCATTAGTTCAATTACATTTCACACCACTCAGCCTAAGGCAAGCAGAATTGTACAGGACACCAAAAATATTAATTCCAGCAAACACATCTCAGAAACACAAGCAAGCACTGCCAGTTTCCACACGTTCTCTGTCTCTAAAGTATTAGCTGGTATCTGACTACATTGTTTTTTAACTGCAAATGTGTTTCCATTCAATTTTATACTGTAAAATGAGGCTATCTCACACTAAAAACACTAAAATAAGCAGAGTGCAGAGCCAGTATCTATTAGAATATTCAAGAAGCTTACCTTCACACACTAGTACATCACAAACCTGTGAAACTGAAATGTAAATACATCACATCATCTAGTTTCTAGTACACAACAATTTTTATGGATTACAAGGCATGTAATCCACACATGGTCGGAGGTTCTGCTTACTTTATTAGTGCCAAGGGAATAGCAGTCACTTCTGTGCTTTCTAAATATATTAGATTAAAAATGTATGCAGTTGGATACACATCAGATCAATTCACCTCCCTTCATTGTTACATAAATACACACATGTATGTCCATACGTAATTATTATTTATTTGCTCACACCAAAAGGTGGGTTTAACATCAGGATCTACTTTTTATTTATATGAAGGAGGTTTGGTAAGAGTATCACTGAACTGGACTGACAGGCACCATGTCCCACCACACAAACTTAAACATCCTACCTTCCCCACCCATGTTGGATTTTTTTAATTTTAAGTTAAATAATTCTTTGAAAGGCTACAGAATTTACCCAGACAGAAGAACAAAATTTCTGCTGTGTTAACCATTAAATATACTATATTGCAGTATTTCTTTTTAAAGTGATGTATGTGCTAATTATCAAATTTCTTTGACAGTTGAATATTCTAGACTTATGTTTGTTTCCTACGAAAAAAGTTTTAGTTGCCAATTGCTATCAAACTCTTTTGAAAGGAGAGAATACAGCATTCTTTAGCAAAGTTTCAATGAAGTATTAAAAAATCTAGATTATGCTAAATTACTCTTCTGTTACCCATTATTCAGACAAAATACCTCCAACATACAGCTAAGAACAATCACCTTCTGTCTTAAAATTTTCCAGCCTTATAAGAGCTGAATTCCACTCCTACTTCACACATTCTGCCATTATATCACTGAATGTATTTGCCTTACACCAAGAGGAAAGAAGAATCTGACTCTATAATTACCATCTCCGTTTTCTACTTCATAGAGCACTTGCACAATTCAAGAAGCAAAATGAAATCCAGGGTTTGAGTTTTGTTTTGGTGGGGGAAGGTAAAAAAAAAAAAAAAAAAGGAAAAAAACCACATACTAACAGGAAAATCAGAATCACTCAGAGCCAATAAGCGTTAAAGAAGAAGGATGTGAAGAAGAAGAGGAGCACAGGTCCAGCAGAAAAGGGCAGAAGGAAGCACTCAAAGGCAGCTGGGGCCATCAGGACCACAGAAAGGCAGAGGGCAACACACACTTGCTGTGAGAAAAATGCTAACCTTAATTTTTAGGTTGTAGCAGCCAAAAAAAATAAGAACTTGTCTTTGAATCATTGCGTCTGATATGTGGTTGTGCCAAAACTGCTGGGAGGAGAGGGGGGAGCAAGATGAATAGCAACTCCAGAAAAGGCTTTTGATTTAACAAAATACACAGAATAACTGACAAACCAAAAGCATGCACAATTCTATTACCCCTTTTCCTACAGATAAAATACAAAGTACATACAGACTACAAGCATTACAAGAAAAGACCTGAAAGGTTAAGCATGTGCTCCCAGTGATACATTTTAAAATATGCTATTGAATTTTGCTTTAGTCAGTCAGATAACTTCAGTTCATCTGGATGTTTAGAGTGTGTTTTACTACCACAGTATGTTTTTAACTACTGTTTTAGCTTTAGATTAGCTAAGATACAAGCTTAGTTTTAGCTTCTTTATCACAATTTAATTATTTTTGTAGAGTAATAAAGTGAAGGAGATATATCATCAAGCATCTTTAAATTCTTTGCTAAAATTATACTTCACTGATTATTATAAATTGAAACAATGGGAGAAATATCTTCTTGTGTATTTATTTTATAGATTTCTCTATCACCTTCTTTTCCTATTTTACAAAGAAATTCTCACACAATGAAAAGAAATCTACTTGAAATGAAAAACCAGGAGATTTACAGTGAAAGTTGTGTGATAGGTACAGAACCTGAATTTTTAAACCAATTCTTTTTATAGTTTGAATGAATTGTATCCTTAGCATATAAGCATTTCTATATCCACATTCTGATTCCTGACACTGCAGCCAGGCAGGCTGAGAGCACAAAGCTGTTGGCACACAGCACACTCGTGTTTCCTTTCCAAGATGGGTTTTTGGAAATATACTTTTGGTTTCTGTTACCCTGACACAACCTCTAACTTCCTACCATATACTGTAACAGTTTAACCTGATACCATGTCTAATAAACAAATCAATGTCACTGCTGAAACAACATTGCTGTAAAATCTGTCACTCGGGCTATGTCAGACTGCTATTAACATAGCTGTATTAGCACAGTTTTACTTTTAACTGTACCAGGAACTCTCACAATCTGTTGTGAGATTTTACTTCAAATTAAATTAAATTTCAACTCAATTCGTAGGGGGGGGAAAAAGCACAGTAACTTACTACTACTCTGCACCACAGTTTTCTTTCAAATTTTATTTCAAGATATTTTTCATAGATTCCTGCCACAAATAGAGATAAAAAGGGATAAGGAGGAGAAAAGGACATCTACCCACATTAGTAAGTTATTAAAAATATAAATTATCAATTAAATTATTACAAATCAGCGATACTTTGTGTACTAGGCTGCATTTACAACGGGCTGAAATCACACTTAAGGCAAAAAAGAAAAAAATATAAAGGAACACTATTTGCCATGTATTATCACAAAACAAAAGGTGAGTGTGAGCACTGCAGTTGTAAAACACCTTAAGAAAAATGAGGAAGGTTATTATTCCTGCTAAGAGCTCTAACAGCTAGTAAATGAGACCTATCAATGAACAAGAACAAACAAAACAAAAGACGTGAAAATCGGTCGAGGAAAGCTCGATATGACCCAGATACGACCCAGAAATGCACCCTTGAAGCCCAGAAAGTCCAAGGATGCCCATCAGCAGCAATGGAATCTGGCCAGCAGGAAGAGGCAGGTGATGCTCCCTCTACTCTTCTCTCATGAGACCCCACCTGGACTGCTGTGTCCAGCTCTGGGGCCACAACCCATCAAACATCAAACCTGAGAAAGTTCAGGATGGCCATGGAGACACCAGAGGGGTAGAGCAGCTCTCCAATGAAGACAGCTGAGAGCTGGAGTTGTTCAGCCTGGAGAAGAGAAGGCTCTGAGACCTCAGAGCACCTTCCAGGATCAGTGGGACCTACAAGAAGCTTTTTTTACAAGAGCGCGGAATGAAACAACAAAGGGGAATGGCTTCAAACTGAAGCAGGACAAGTGTAGGTTAGATATTGGGACTTAATTCTTTACTGTGAGAGTGGTGAGGCACAGGAACAGTATTGGAATAGGTATCCCAATATAACCAGTTAGATGGTGCCCAGGCCAGTTCTGACCTTCGCTGCTGGGCCACAGGCAGCACTGCGGTGTTTTACCCCAGAGATACCTTGGCTGGCGGCAGAGTGCAGCGGGGCACAAGACAGGACTCCGTTTACCTCAGGAGAGAGCTTCTGGCGATGGTAGAGAGAAAGGGAATGGATTCTGCTAGAAGGTAGCCAGATGTTTATTCCATTGGTGCAGAGGCCTCTGCACTGGGCCACTGCTGGTAACAGAATAGAGGCCGCATGGTCTCATTCACATTTTAAGCTCAGGACAGGGGAAGGGGAGGGGACAGGTGAGTCACCAACCAGGTGAAGGGGCAGGGTCTCCAGGTACTAGGGTCACCTATCACACGACGCCTTGCTGGTATGTTAGCCTGATTGACAGGGCACACTCAGCGAGGGGCGAGGGGGAAGGGAGAAGGTAAAACAGGATATTGCAACACACCACAACAGAACAGGCTGCCTAGAGAAGCTCTGGAACCTCCATCCCTGGAAGTATTCAAGGCCAGGTTGGATGGGGCTTTGAGCAGCCTGGTCTAGTGGAAGGTGTCTCAGCTCACAGCAGGGGCATGGAAGCAGATGATCTTTAAGATCCCTTCCAAACTAAACCCTTTTGTGATTCTATGAAGAGAATCTGTGGGTAAAGACTACATTACGGACATATAACCTTTACGGTCAAAATTATTAAAATGGAAGTGTACAGCTCATCTGCACTTGCACCAAACAGCAATGAAGTACAGAAAAGTGCACATGAAGACAAGTTAAAGAGATCTTCAAAAGGATTCATATATTCAGACGCTTCTAATAAATCTTGCCTCAGTTTTACAGCATGCAGTGAAGATTCCAGAGCAGTTCAAATAAACTAGAATAAAAGCGAGAAACTTTTGATACAGTCACCAATTTTTTCTTGTGTCCTGAATTTTTTTCCAGTCAAAAGTTTCTGCAACTCTAGTTTGCTAATCAGGTCTGCTAAAACTGGGCAAGGGGGGAATCTTTGAAGTTGTAGACAACCTGGCAGAGAAACAGTATGTTCTCAAAATAATAGGAAGTTCCTTCTTTTAATGAGGTTAGGTTTCCACATTTTTCCCTGAGATTACATGAAAAAAGGTATGAGACCCTGCTGGTTTTGAGCTGAAGAAGGTCTAACTTCAAGACAACTAAGTCAGTAATTAGACTTAATGCCTGTGAATAACTGAAGGTTGGGCCTGAAAGGTAAACACATAAGACAACTGGACTATTTTATGTTTCAAACAATAACTGAGCAGAGATGATAAAATGCTTAAACAATATTTGAAAATTATGTGTATGAGTTGGGTGACAAAGAGACAAAACTACTCCTGTGAAAACAACCTATTTTTAAAGCTGTTTCCTATGAAGAATGAAATCTTACTCTACATTTCTCATTACTTTGTGTTACACACAGTAACACCTTCACTGATCCTTTAGGCAAGACAAGAGTAACAATAGTTACAGGGATAACTAGTACCAATAGGGATACTGGCTCCCATCCAGGGCCTGAACAAAGATTAGTCTTCAGTCTACTTTTCACAGCTATTTGGTTAGACTTTTTAACCAAAACTGGCTATACTTTAATGAGAAATGAACAGGATAAAATTGGGTATTATGTTTAAGACTTGAACAACCAGTATTTACTTGAAGAATTCAAGTAAATTGCGACTATAATCCAATTTTTCAATTATTTTATACTTCTGAATTTGCCAGGCCTCATTTTCCAGTCCTTAGCTCTTGCCATTTCCTTTCCTGCAAATCCAAGAGCCCTTCTGTGGTCCTTTATTTTCTCCCCATGAATGCACCTCTACAGTCTTAATCTTCATGAAAAAGGGCCCACTTAATCACCCACTGTGACATGTATAATTGCATTTATTCACAGGTAACCACAAAACTGTTTTTATCTGTAGAGCACAATTCCCTGCACCATTTGCACAAGTACAGATTTGTTTGACACAGCTGCATGAATGCAAGAACAGAAACAACATTGGTAAAGCAATCCCAGCAAGGACACGGTCCAATTCCAAAGCTTTACAGTTTAGTCGCCCTATTTCTCTGTTCCAGCTCCCCTAGTAACAAAATCATCTGCTAAGAATGTAGAGCAACTGTGAGGTGAGGAGAATATGGCTTATTTAAATACCTGCTTTGGGGAAAAATAACTTAAAGGGAGGTTTAAGTAATCTAAATTTATGCACATAAATCTATAACGCATCTACACCATTTCTTTAATCAATTCAGTAAGCAAAACACACAAATTTGTTTGACAACACATTTTCCATAAAAAGGTAATTGACTATCATTAATTCAGCTTTACAGCCCCGAATTATTCTTTCAAATGAATTCAACTTGCCTACTATTTTTTTAGAGTAGCTTTGTATATACTTGACATTGATATCAATAGAAATATCATCTCCTTTTGAATGCTGGAACAACCCAAGCTGGAGTTTCTCTTACCCTTTCAGTAAAGACCTACAAACTAATGTCTCTGGGAACTCAGCACTTTTGTGTAACATCCTTGTTAGTTGTTGGTATCCTTACTCTATGGAAGAACAAATTACCCTGTCTTCAAACAGAAAACAAGAGCACTTACTGAAAAGTCCTCGTATTCTCCATCTTTGTGAACAATCTGGAAACTAGTATATTAAAAAGTTTATCTCATGATAGGTGTCTTTCTGGTTCCAGTGAGTCATGGACATTTTTTTT